CACGCACACACACATATATACACACGCATACACACATGTATTTATTTATATATATATATATACATATCTCATAAATACGCCCTTATTTACAATTTTGTATAAATATTTACACATCGACCATCCGTAACGTGCTTTAATTAAATGAGTTGGTTGAAAATAATTTTGAAAAATCATTGTATAATTTTGTCTATTAAAACTTTTGATGTTGTACTATACACACACACATATACACATACACACACATACATACGTACATACACACACATACATACGTACATACACACACATACACACACATACATACACACGCATATTGCACGTGACAGGCGGGGATCCTTTGGCATTCGAACGCGTTCACTGCAACAGCACGACCAGGCGTCTTACTTATTACGCTATGGCCGGCGTTCATGTGATTTCCAAAATAAATTTTAGATTTTTTCTTGTTCTGGATTCCTTAATGATCACCGTAAAGTTTTTCCAATGCTATATTTTTGTAATATTATATTATATTATGGTTTTAATTGAAAATTTAATAATTTTTTGATGAAATTGGAAGTATTTTTGCCGTTGTAACTTAACATCCATCCCTTCATACTAATTGTTTTGTGGTTATTTATAGTAATCAATCAGTAATTACTTATTATAATGGCTGAGCTTCTAAGCTAGGGGTGATAACTATAATTATCATTTTTAATTAATTCATTATTTGATTCATTATTATGAAGTTATTTTTTTAAGATTTCTTGGAAATTTTTCTCCAATTGTTCGTTCGCTTTTTAATTAATTCATTAATTCGCTCGTGCATTCATTCCTTCATTCATACGTTCACTCACTCACTTACTCACCCACTCATTCATTCATTCATTTATCCATTCATTCATTCGTTGAAAGAATTTTTTGTGTTGAAGATGTTTGTTGAGTTAGTAGGCTATTGTAAAGTCTTGTGAATCCGGTCAGTTGTTCGTATTTCCATTCTTAAAATAATTCAAAAACCATTTCCCTTGATTCATTAAATTATTCATTCATTCTTTTGTTCGTTCGTTCATTTTTTTATTCATTTGCTCATTCACCAAATCATCCTTTGTTTCATTTATTAATTCTTTCATTCACTCATTCATTTAATCAATCATTTATTCGTTCATTCATTTGTTCGTCTGTTCATTCGTCCATCCATTCATTTTTTTGTTCAGAAAAATTTGCTCAACAATAGAATTGTAGCCGCCTGTAATATATCATGTTCACATTCATTAGTTTATTGCTCTCATAAATGAATGAATGATTGAATGAATGAATAAGTGAGTGAGTGAGTGAGTGAGTGAGTGAGTGAGTGAGTGAGTGAGTGAGTGAGTGAGTGAGTGAGTGAGTGAGTGAGTGAGTGAGTGAGTGAGTGAAATTTCAAAACTTGCCAGCGTCTCTAGCTTATTTCATGAAATATTTTTAGCCCTTAAAGGTAATTAATTTCCATTTTACCCATTCATTCATTCAATAATTCATTTATTTATTCATTCATTCATTCATTTGTTCGTTCGCCCATTTCTTATTCATTCATTCATTCATTTTTTATTTGCTGCCTATTGTTTGTTCATGTCGGTTCTCTTGTGGCGTTTTTTATCAGTCAATGTACATTGTGAAAATTATTACAAACTTTAAAAAAATATTCTAAATTTTATTTATTTTTTTCGTTTTTTTCTATTTAAATTAAAAAATGCAAACAACAAAGACAAAAAACAACATAGATAAAACAAAAAAAAAACAAAGACACAGCAACAACAAAGCACCGAAAACAAAGACAAAACAACAATGACAACATAATCAACAAATTCAAAACAACAACAACATAATCAACAAAAACAAAGGCAATAAAACAGCATAAACAATACAACAACCAAAACAACAACCAAAGCAACAACAACGACTCAGCTTATATACATGTATTTAGATAGTTTCTTTCGCACAAAAAACACAAAAAGTATAAAATATGTTGGAAAATTGATATAACTTTTTGGATGGTTGGAAGAAAAATTTAAAAAATGAAGTAATATTTCAGAAATAAACCAAGTTGACCCACAACATAATAAACAACGCCTTGTATGTGTGTGTGTGTGTGTGGTGTGTGTGAGTGAGTGAGAGAGAGAAAGAGAGAGAGAGAGAGAGAGAGAGAGAGAGAGAGAGAGAGAGAGAGAGAGAGAGAGAGAGAGAGAGAGAGAGAGAGAGAGAGAGAGAGAGAGTTGATCTATCACTACTAAGCTAATTGCTTCATATTGCTAGGAGATAGAATTTATGAGATTTTTTCATTTAAAAATATATTTATTAATGGCCTTGCTAGATTATTTCAATTAGATAACTACTATGTCATTCATTTCTTCTGTAGGTATGATCTAAGTAATTTGAAAATTGAATCGTAAAACAAGTAACTTGTTTTTTACCAAAAATCTACATTCTATATACACACAAATACACACACAGACACACACTTACAAACACACACACACGCATACATACATACATACACACAGAGTTAATCAACGAAGGGTCTAACATACATACATACCAACATACACGTACACACACATATTCACTTCATATTCACTCACGCACACACACACACAGAGATACTCTCTCTCTCTCTCTCTCACACACACACACATACACACAGATACTCACACACACACACACACAGAGATACTCACACACACACACAGAGAGATACTCACACACACACACACATTTGCACTGCATCTGTTGTATATAGTAAATGTATCTTAATGCATCTACCCAAATGAACTTTGAGAAAAGTATTTTTTTAATTGAAAAAAGTTAAAAAAAAAACTTAAAGATAAATTTTAAAATTTCGTAAATTTATTCTCCAGGCAAGTTTTCAGTTTTAATCGAGCCACACACACCACACACACACACCACA